AATCTCACTGCCTCAACTGCTTTGGAAGCCTTTCAGATAAAAACATTTGTGCAGAAACAAAAAACAGGAAATGACTATATCTCAGCGGTACGGCAAAAGCAAAATTTTTTGATATACTGGCTGCTTCATTTTCTAGATAAGCTGGCTGGACATCGTCAGCCCATCCTCTTTTTAACGCGTTTTTGCTTATATGCATATGCAAAAACGCATATTGTGATGACCTCGTGTGTGTGTGTGTGTGTGTGTGTGTGTGTGTATGTGTGTATGTGCGTATGTGTGTGTCTGTCCGGATATTCCAATTCTGCACCCAAGCAAGCTCCGCCGTCAAAATTTTGCCACTGGCTTCCCCGGCCAAGTGCCACCCCAGGGCGGCGGTACCAACTCTCACGCATATCTAGGCCTCGCGTACAAGAGGGTGAAAGTTTTGGCGGGAAAATCGCTGACTCGAGAACCAAAAAAAAGGTAGAAAGCTGAAATTTTGATGTTATGTTCCCCGCTAGAAAGCTGAAATTTTTAGTGTTAACTTAAAGATTTCAAATTCAGTCCCAGGGGCGCGTGGTATCCGCGTAATGGCCTCGTGAAGGTCCTTGGCGCGAGAATCGCTAAATTGGTAAATAGAAAGCTGGGAGGGAATATTTCCAGCATATGTACCACTTAAAATTATCAAATTCAGCCCCTCGGCGTGCGTGGTTCTCATGTACGCCCCATGGGAATTTTTGACGGGAAAATGGTTAATTCGGGAACCGGTAAAGCTGAGTGGCTGATATTTTCAGAGAATGTTCCCAGCGCATATACAGTAAAAATTTATCAGATTCAGCCTCCGTACGTGCGTGGTTCTCACGTACGGACCCGTAAAATTTCTTGGCGCAAAGATGGCTAAGTCGAGAAATAGGAAAGCTGGGAGCTGAAATTTTAAGGGTATGTTCCTAGCTCCTCGTAAAAGTTAAAGATATCAAATTCAGCTCCCAGATACATGTAGTTCTCATGTACGGACCCATGAAATTTTTTGGCAGGAAAATTGCTAACTCAAGAACCAGAGAAATTGGAAAGCCGAAATTTTAACGGAATGCTCCCTGTCCATGTACTACGTAGAGAATTAACTTCCCGAACTTCTAGGACCAGTATTTCACAAATCCTAGTTACTAGGTTTCCGAGCGACCTCATTACAGCACGAAATACTGCAGAAACGCATGTTCGCACGGACCCGCCTGGTACGCGTCGCCAATGATTGTCTGTTAAGCAAACGATCTGGTAACAGACTGACCGTATTGCAGCAACTCTAGATAATTTCGAAGATTGCCAAAATTGCCTGGCTTCCACTTGTAGAGGTGTTCCTGCGCTGACCAATCTGGTTTACACCTTTCGTATCCGCTATGTACGTGCAACATCTATTTTGAAGCTGTCCACTAAACATTCTTTGCATGGTAGTTGACTGTCGGTCACCAACAAAGCAATCTTCTTTTGTTCCCACCCAATACAGTATAGTGCCTGTTCATCACACCAGACAGTCCTTTTCAGATCGCTTTCTGACGATGATTTACATTTGCTGTTTTTCTCTAAGCAAGAAATGTGTAGTGTCAAATGTAGTACTCTGTTTCTGTGATATCTCTCTATCTCTCCCGAGAAACTGTAACATTGTATGCTGCCAAATATAATGCGCGATTTCTTTGCTTACATTAATTCCTTTAGTCACTGAAAAACGAATCATATGATAACTTCATGGCAATTTACTTACTACTGTACGACCGTTGGCGTTCTTCATCAGCATGCATGGATCCGCGCGGAGCAGCACGTCGA